CGCAAATGTCTTCCGTAAGTCAATTTCCAAGTTCCGATCTGATTAACGATTCCGATCGAAGAATATATCGTGAACTCGCGAACTATTTATTTCTGAAATCCCTAGTGTTAACGATTTAACACATAAGCTAATGAGTGCTTATGAGATTGATGAGCGATTAGCATGAAACATGCAACCGTCAAAGCGCGAAATTGAAAAATGATCGTACTCTGAATAATCGTAATTATAGCGTGTCTTGTTACACGCGTCTGTTTTCACTGCGACAGACGTGTTAATTCGCTGCATATTACACTACTAATAATTAATCAAACTGTCAAAAACATATTCCGTCATTTGTAATTACAAATTTTTGCCATGTCTTCTTTTCGAAGAAATCTCTTGCTTTTTAAAAATATCGCGATAGTTGAAAGACCTGTATAAATTGCAAAAATCGTGCAAAACTATGACCGCGATAAAAAAGGAGATCCATTGCAAGTGGAAATAAATGAACACAAAAGCTTTTAAAAACGAGTTACGAGGGTGAAATCCATTTAAAATTCCTTGAACGTGGCTTGGTTAACTCCAAGGGGAAAAATGTAGTGTATAACCGGCAAACAAATAAATTGCAAGGATTTACGGAGTGCTCGCGAGCATAGAACACGGTGGATAGTGCAAAGCGTCGAGACTGTCTTTTCTTGGCCGTTCTAGCGAATTTCCATCGTCCAGGCTCGCATTGAGGTAGAATTCAATGTCGGAGGCGAAGAATTAAGACGTGGACCTCGCACATATTTCCCAGGGAGAATACGTGAACGTTCCTGACACACCTGTTTGCTCGTAAAACGTCACCTACGTGTTCTCTCCCGATCCTCGCGTTTGCATACCACTATTTCGAACTCGAGAAAAGCCAATTGGCAGCTGAGATGTCTGAGAATTTTTTTTCTAAACATCTTTTCTGAAGATATTAAAGCTGTATACTTTCGAGATGTTTAGAATTAAACAGTATTTAGAGCACGTTCAAAATGGAGACACACGCTGTGGGCTGTAAATTTAAACGTAACACCGTGACAGGGCTGATTGTGACCCAGATTAATTAGACATATAACAAGTACAAATGGGTATATTTTTAATGCAAAATGTGGGACAGAAAAGTCGGAAATAAAAATATACAGACTTTTAAATTTGGAAACAGTAATTAAATACAAAGTTGGCAACTGGTATTTCAACATAATATTATTAGATCAAGTATTGGCTTGTACTGCCTTTACTAATTTGACAAAGTAGCAGAGAGCAACGTCGTACGTTTCACATCTAATTGGTACACATTTGATAACCGATATTCTCAAACAATATTGTTCGCTAAAATATTACCTGGTACCTCGTCCAATATTTTGATAAAATAGCAAAACGCATCCTGTTACACGCTAACTCATATTTCCAAATATTGGTACTCTCGTCCAATAATTCAATTAAATGACAGGGTGTAACGAAATATTGCCACAAAATATTCAACATTCTATATTTTTGTCTTTGATGGCTAACAATAACGCACATAAATTCTATACTTTATTTACCGAATTATGTAATAATTCTTATTAAAGAGCTGACAATTGTACGTCTCCTTTTGATGCAAGAAAAAGGTATAAAATTACTACATGTCGCTTAAATTTTCATATTCATATTTTACGATCTCATCGATTTCACAAACTTCAAATTTTTTAACTTCAGAAAAGTATGAAAACCTCTCACTGTAGGAATAAGTAGTTCTACAAATTTAACTACAATGAGCAAATGGGTTCGCGGAAGATCATTCATTTTAACGATGTAAAAAAACTCCGAGTAAAAGCAGACACTTAGTGAAAATTCGAATCGAGCATAAGATCGAACCAATGTCGTAAACGCTTCCTGGTTGCACACCTATAATTCGACGAGCACTTTGCCGTCGTTTCGCCGCTTTTCAGACTTTACATGAACCTTTCCTACTTCAACTTTCCGCCCATCACCGTAATTTGCGAAACGAAAAATTTTTCCCAAGGAATATCGATCATCGTATTTCAAGGAAGTTAGATCCAAATTCTAAATTTTCGCGAAATTCTTCCAATTAAAAAATTTGTACTCCGAAGACTTTTTGGAGGAATTTCTCACAGAAAGTTTTGGAATCTCAGTTTTCTTTACATGTAACATTTGACCATACGTGATTTATTTAAAGCATACGGACATCTTTCACGGGAGTTCCTCAATGGCAAATATCAATCTTGAAATATTTCATGGAAAGAATCGACAAAAGTAACGGCGGGTATTGACAGAGGGATTAAAGGATTAATATTAATTTTCCGAATACTATCGACGTTTCAATGGCCGATAGCTACGAACTCAGCGTTTAATTCATCGAGACACGATAAAATATTCATTGAGCAAAAGGGTCGATTTATCCGAATCCAAGGATCGCTAGGATATCGATGGTCCGGGTTGCTGACTTCAACCAACGTATTCATGGTACGTGAATAGTTGTCATGCTACGTCTCTCAATACACGCGATGAGCATTCTCCGGGTTATTTTCGATGCATTCGCCTCGACGACTATTTAGACTTCACCTCGGCCAACGAGGAAGAATAACCAACGTGAATTTAACCCTCTGTACAATCACGTAACATCTTCCATCGATTTCGCGTGTCATAAACAGTGCGCATATGTGTCTAGATTGGGTGCAATGTAAGCTTCCGAGGATGGGGTGGTCAAGAGGATGTCATATCCGAGATTTTGGGACGGTTAATATGGAAACTTCGAAACTTTCGGATCTCTGAAGCTTCTGATTCACAAATTCTACAAACTGCATATCCCTGAATATCTAAATTTCTAAACTTCAAAATTTGCCCCATTTCTAAATCCCAAAATTTCCAGAGTTCCTCAAACTGCTTTTAAACGCTGCAAAATTTGCAACTGATTAAACAGCAGAATGTCTACGTACTTTAAGGAACGTTAATTTTGTTTTTAGATTTAAGTACACATCGCTGGTGGGCGACTGCGATAAAATTAGGTAGAGATTCAAACGGCGGTAGTTCTAGTGTTAATTGTTAACAGCGTGAATTTTAGCCGCGACCGCGAATGGTTAGACCGCAAATGGCTGAACCGCAAACGATTCGATCGTTGTTCCGTTTAAATAAACAACGACACCACGTGTCAGTTTAGTTGCACACGATGAATCACGTATACCAGGTAGGAAGCTTCATATAGAAATGCTAATTAAGAAGCGCTGTCCGAAAGGTCAAATGGTCCTAAATTAATCAACTGGTTGTAAGAATGACTCACGCCATTTTTATCCCGAATCGACTGCAAAATATTTTTCACGAGGATCCGAATACGTAAACAAAAAGTAAATATTTAATGACTAAAGGTATCTCACATTTCTTTTTCTGTACAATCGAATGATGTAATAAAGATTTCTAACCGTGTGTTTGTTCATTGCATCCTTGACAAGTCGCTAAGTAACAATACTTAGTACAAGTAGCAGAAAATCAACAGAGAGATGTAGCAACAATGCAAACAGTTTCTCGTCCCAAAATACTGTCGAAATTCGGGACGAGAAAAAAAGAATTTCGTTGACATGACAATGGACAAATTGAGACAGATTAGGAATTTAAATATTTGATGTGACACTGCATAAATTTTCAAAAGGTCTGCAACTTGATTTTTCAATGTGAATTATTAGTACATTTGCCACAGTGGAAGCTGATAGTATGGGTCAGACTCAGATACAACTATATTGGTTATTAATATTATTTATGAATTTGAAATTTTTAATTCAAGACAAATTCCTGGATACAACGCATTAATATTAACGAAGCCGACGCCGCAAGAAAACGGGAGAATTTTAATCGCGCGAAATCGCGTCCAACAAAAACTTCGGCCTGGGGCAACGAGGAAAGCTTCATTCGGGCGACATTTACACGAGGAAAAGATTTTTCGTATGAAAAAAAAAGAGATACCTGACTCTGCTACGTGGATGCAACCGAAAGCGAGAACAAAAAAAAGAACTAATGAAATCTCGTTAAATATTCATAGTATTTTCGCGCGGTCATTTGCAATCGAAGTCCATTGCGAAACGGGTTCCGAAAATACACGACCTTCTGCGGAGAATCTGCTGCATTATTCCTAACCGTGATATTGTCGCTTCAATTAATTCGAGTACAATCACTATCGTAATCCCTTTCGTACGATTTCCTAGAAAGGTTTTACTTTCTACCCTAGGGGGTTTCGAAGAATACCACGTACAGGTTTCGTGTCGCGTTAACCAATTCTCTGCTAATGCTGCGGTTCATTTATGGAGTATTCATTTATGTTTGTTTTGTAATTTACATTGCTACATTCAATAAGCTGACTTTATACTTCGTGGAAACCGATCATTAGAAATTCTTTTATTTGACTAATTAACAAGTACTTGAAATTCTGCATAATACTGAGACACTCAAAATGTAAATGTAGGTATTGAAATAAGAATATTAAGTATCAAGCTTTTCCAAAATAAAGAACTCGTGTATTACAGATTTTCAAAGCAAGAATTTTGCAAAATATAAGTAGCCAAGCTAATAGCGGAGACAATGTAATCAACTTACGAGCGATTAACATAAGATAATGTCAAGAACAGACACGCATCGACCTTTAGCGCACGGATCCATTAACTATGTACACTAACGCTCACAAGTATTCAATCCCTCATATCGTATGCATCTTTGATGACATGTATCACACATGAAAATGCGCGAAAACCAACACGTAGTCATATGTGGTAACACACATAAAATTATTTCAGCGTTGCATCTTCAATTAAAAAGTCATTCGACTGTATTTTCGTTCCCGACAAATCATCAATTATCGATCGCAATCGTTGGTCACAGTAGCAGTGAAAAATTTGAAAACAATGCACTTATGTCATGTGCATAAGAAAAACCGCTTAGCAGGTTCCCGAACAATGATCCCCGACGGGTGTTCGCCGGATCGATACCGGAAGGTAGAAAGCACTTACCTTTCTCGGTTCAGGGGCATAGATGCCGGGCAGCGGAGCCAGCAAGTGTAGTCCAGGATTGGGGATGCCAGAAGCCGGGTGTCCAGGCGGAATGGGCAAAGGCACCAGCTTCAGGCCCCAGGGTAGGTACCAGGGTGCCGTGTGGTGCATGATCGCGGCACAATCGTGAACGATTCCACCGTACGGCGAGAACAACGCGCCAGGATGCGTTCTCCTGATCGAGGATAATATTTCACTTGTACGAACGGTAAGATCGTCGTACTCGATCGCGATCGATATCGTAAAACTCTGATACCGGGAGAAATCAGGTTGGCATGATCCGTGGACCAACCGAGTCTTCACCCTCGGATTAATTCACACGCGTGGCGAGCGATTTTTCACGCACACTGACCTCATGGTAGTTTATGGAACTAGTCGGAATTTTTGCGGGAAGCTTTGATTTTCGATCGCGAAGGGGTTGCACGAGAAGAGAACGAACGTAGCAGATGCGCTCTCGACGAGCGCGCGGCAACGACTGATCGCCGATCAAGCGTCGAGCGTCGAGCACATGGCCGCGGTTACTCCCACCCCGATTTCCTCGAGCTGCTTCTAGGACGCCAGACGCTCGCACCCCCGCCCCTTCGACCACCCCATTTACACCCAGCCCCTTTACATCCTTTCCTACAATCCTATCGCTTTTTCCTCCCTCGTTAAAATTATTCCGACATGCTCCGTGACTTTTTAACGCGATGGTCAACTTTGCCCCCTTAAATAAATAAGGGGTGGAGATACTGCACATCAGTCAAATTTCTAATACCTCCCACTATGCATCTACTCTTCGTTATACTCGATAGAGATTCAAGCCGATAAAGAAAGTTATTGAATCGAACCGAAAATCAAGTGTGCACCATGTGAAAATTATTCGATACTGCAGGAAGCGATCAAGTATCGTCGATTAAATTATACGGCAATATCATCGGCTCGTTGAGAAACTCGATGGGTATTCGCCGGTAATTATTTACATTCTCATTAAATATAATTACCGTCGGACGCGCAAGATCTAAAATTTGGCGTACACCGGGGGATATAACTGTATCTAACTTCGTGGTCCGTAGGATACTCGTAGACTATCAAACGAGATCCCATATTGCACGGATCTCCCTTAACGAATCGTCTATTTATGAGCGACGGTTTTCTCGGACCGTCTCGGTTAAAATGCCGTCGGTGAAAAATCGTGCGAACAATTTCGACGAGAAACGAATGTCGCATATATGTGTAATCTACGCGTAGCGCATAGTAACGAGGGTAAAATGCGATCGTGAAATATGCATCGATTTGAACAAGCTTACCGCGTACGGGGAATAAATAATAATGGAGACGATTTAAAGTTTGAAGAGTACTTGAGTCGAAGATGAAAATTAAATCTCTGCAGATTCTTTACTTCGTGGGATGAAGACTAAAAACGATACACATTTGAGGATACGTGATTTGGAAATTTGAAGACTCGAAAGTTTAGATCTTGCGACACATAAATTGCCTATGCCCGGGGCCCTGGCGAGCGCGTTTGGCCCCCGCTGGTTTACAGCACGGTCCTCGAAATCGCCGCAGGACTAATTTAATCGGAGCAGAAAACTCAATGGGAAACAAGAAAGAAACGTCGAGTTAGCGAGGGACTGTTTCGCCGAGCCCGGGCTAACTTTCGACGTCGAATCTCATGTGGTCCAACCCTCGTATGTGCTTCAAAACTTGTTGGAAGTTTTCGAGGAAAAATTAGATTTTCAGCGTCCCTTTCGCCTGATAGGATTTCTTCGCCCGTATGAAATGCAGGGCTTCTGCCCTTCGAGTGCGATACCTATCGCGTTCACAGGGATTGATTGTCACGGGGGTTGTTTATGCCGAGCTAAAAGGGATTCTATGGTTTTGTTAATCTTCTTGAGTACTTGAGTGGCTTGAGCTCGTCGATATCGGTGTGCGAATTTGAATAGAAAAGTTTATTGTTGCTGTTCATATAATCTTTATCTTTCTGAATGTTCTAACATTTTCCTCTCACCGTATTTTCACTTTTACCACACGATTGACGATAAGACGATTGTGTAATACAATCACCGACGCTCGTGCAACTCGTATCGCGGAAGCTAATGAGAATAACCATTAATGATGTAAGATTTTCAAATTAACAGATCGTGTAGCACGCCAAGTGCAAATGTTCTTTTCTGGGTAGTTCCATTGATGGGTCATTAACGATAAGTGGAAGATTAACGAACAATGAAATACATTGGCTCGAACACAACAGGTTATCGGGGCTTTTAAGGAAAATGGGGCAATGCTGACCAGTCGTTATTACAACTTTATTTATGGATTAAGTAACTTATTATTGCCCGTGTTAAATGTTCTCCCTCGATTTTTATTTGATTTGATCGTAAAAGGGATGATAGACGTAATCAGATCATTCTACGAATGAGATGACGCACGTCGTTCACAATGAAACGATTAAATTCGCAAATATCTCGCCCAAGAGTGGACTTTGATCGACTCGAGCGACAAAAACGAGGAAGAACAATAGTCGACAATAGAAGATCGGTGGCCTGAAAGCGAAAAAGCCACGATTCCTGCGAAGCCACCTGTCGACGATTTGTCATTCGACGCGCATAGCTGAACGCACGATTTATAGCGGCCACTCGAGACCCGCCAGGTATAATAGCGCTGCTATGATCCGTGATCGTGGCTTCAACGTTCAAGATGAATGCACCACCAGAAATCTCTTTCTGCGATACACATAAACACAGTCGACGCGACGATGCAGCGACGACGTTTCACTTCCACGTGCCATTTCGAACGACTTTACGTAACCACATACTCGCCTCTCCTTCTCTTTCCTTGCTTTATGTAATTAACCCCTTACACTTCAGCTAACGCATACCTTTATAACGCAAGTCAATAAACCAGGAATGTTATTTAACATTCTCTGTGCAAAAAAGTTTTGTCCAAATCGGTGAATAAGGATCCACGGTGTTCCCTTGTTAGTCTAATACCGAAAGTGATGCAAACGCTCGAAGAAACAATAGAGACTCGCGGAGGTAGTCGTAATTACACGTTGCCGCAACAAGTCAAGCCTTTCCACGGGGAGAGTCGCAATTTAAATAATGAACCAGCTTCGTTTTTCATGCCGAATCTCGGTACACGGAATGTCGATTACGCGTTGTTGCTTACACGCAACAACGATTTTCCACGGTTACGCAACCGACAGTTTCGTGATCCCTGTTTTATCGATCGCAGTTGTCGGTCATCCTTAACTTTCCCGTGACCCCTGAACTTTGCACAGACTGGCCAGAGAGCGTTCTCCAAACTTGTCGAGCATCGTTATCAACCATCCTGGGATGAGAACGTCTCGATCGGCCACGGTGTTTAACCAAAACAAATATTCATGAAGGTGTTTACCACTTTGTCGATTTAGATTGACTTCTATCCCATATGGAAAATCGAGTTATGCAAAATTCTTCACGCGTGAGGATGCTCAAAATTATCTTAAAGTTCAGAAGTCTAAAATAACCGAATTTGCAGAATGTCAAAGTTCTAAAGTGTCCAACTTTCAAAGTCCCTAAATTACAAAGTCCCAAACTTGGAATATTTCAAAATTTCTGCTTCAGCGACTCTCCATTATATTTACATTCTTCTCTGAGACATCACGACACCTTCCACTCGAGAGAAGTGGAAACACACATAATATTTTTTATTCAACTCAAGAAGGATATTTCAGCCGAGTACACTTTGTTCCAGCAATCGCGAGAAAGAAGACAAAGAAAATGGAGGTTAAGATCCCAAAATTGAACTTGCCCGACTACTTTGGCAATGGCTCTGAAGAATGTGAAGCTCGCTCAGAACGAACGATGAATGAACGGTGAAACTCTTACAATGTCTGCGAACGATTCATTCATAAGGCAGGCAATTGGCAGCGAACGATTGTATGAAGTCGAAGTCCTACTTAGATCGCACTAATTATACCTAACTGCCATCACGATTAACCCCTTCATTAATTATGAAACAGCATTCGAGGGGCGAACACACAACGATTAAACAAAAATTATGTATAAAATATTGTAGCTACTTGGAACAGTTTGAAACATTCTACAGTTTACTTGAGTAAACTGCTGAATTATAAGGTGCAAGTGAAAGTGTTAAAAGGGTATTAAAATTAAATACATCCCGTTTAATAATGCGTGTTAAGCGAGACAAGGAACACGACGTCCATTACAAGGGACAATTTTTCGCGTGGGACTTAATTGCGATGCAAAATTAAAGAGACCCGACCTTAACCCGAAGGGCGAGTCTCCTTAATTTAAGCCCTGTTTCCATGCATACAAAACGGCTCCCAAACGTTGCCACTCGCCGACCAATGACATCACGTAACCCTCGTAAAAATGCACAAGTGCTATTTTAAATGCCACGAAAACAGGTGTTACTCAGTCGTGCAAATTTTTGCTGCCATCATTTATTGCGATAATAATATTGGAGTTTGGTTAATAAAATTTATCCGGAATTTTTATCTACTCACAGCATTTTTATTTTCCCGCAATATTTTATAATTCGAAAAAAATATTTTCCCTGAAAATTATCGAATCGATACCAATTATCGACGTTAATTATTCGTTAAAGCGAAGAAAAGATTGCAGCGCGACATGTGGATGCATTTCAATTAACGAGACACACGTAAAAACTTTTCCACGCGCGGTAGTTTACAAAGCTTTCAGGCTTAAACGACGATCACTGGTCCCGCAATCGAGAAAATTTACGAGGGCAAGACAGGTAGCTCGTTTCTTTGATCTGTCGCTTGTTCGTTTTCCCGCGTGCTTTGCTTACACTTCTTCCACCACCACCGTCGTTCTCGAAAAAAGTTTTCACGTAAAAATAACACGAACTTGCTGCAAGCAGATGCTCGCATCATGACCTACCTTCATTCCGATCTACTCCCTTCCTCGTACGAGTCATTAACCCTCTATAACCTAAATATTCTATGCTTCCCAACAAGTTTTCTATATTAAGAGAAGAATGAAGGTTCGCTTGAACGCGATAGACGCTCCGAAAAGGTGCGGATTTAATTTAGGAAATTCCTAATGGCCGTCGAAAAATTGCTTCTGAAAAGCGTCGCCTTATAACAGAGAATAATTCATGGTATCCGATGTTGGATCCAGTAACTGTTAGGAACGTTTAAGCGTTCTATGATTTTAATAAAACTTTGCTAGTTTATGAAATGGCGGAGAGGGTCGTGACAATATCGTCGTTCAAGGAGGACGTGTAACACTCAAAAATGAAATTTCCTAGCAAAATACGGGGGAAGATTGCCAATTTAATTCGTATACTTCATAGTAGTCTCAAAGTACTATCTCGAATAAATAATTCGCACCCCTTTCGAATTGTATCCAATTGAAACGAGTTAATCCGAATGACGCCACGGAAGAAGTGATTTATGTTAAAAGCAGGAAGCTAAGAAGTTCATCCTCTCGAGGTGTTAGAAGAACGGATAAGAGCAAGAAGAAAGAACTGCGGTAACGAGC